CCCCAAAACCCCAAAACCCCAAAACCCCAAAAGATCACATAAACTTGATAATCGATTATTTAAAAATATATTTATGACATATTAATAAAGAATTCAGTATAGATTTATAATGAAGAATATCTATGTCTCTTCTTGAAAGGACTTCATCTATCATTGTTTTTTGACAGAGAAACTCAAATAGCTATCTCCATGTTTTTAAATAGCAATACCCTTTTACAATAATTCCTTTTCAACTTGTGCGAACTATTCAGGTGTCATTACAATCTCATAATCCTCATCATTCTTCTTTATAACCTACACACCATCTACTACTTCTTATCTCTTTTTTTCAATTGCAGAGTATTTGAATGCTTCCATAAAGTAGAAAAATAAGCCTATCTGTAATCCCTGTTTCAGAGCATTCTGAAATCCATAACTTCTCAAAGACAGCAAAAATGCTGTAGCGCCTCCTCCAATTGTATCATTCCATTTATCGTCAATTTATCTTCCGTATTTCATTCCATCACCAAAGAATGCAAAGCATCCACACCAACCTGCAAAATTTCCTCCTAGTGCAGGGGCTTTATCTCTGGCATTTAAAATTCCAGAGATAATTCTTTACCTAATTGGTGCATAGTACATCCCACTGAAGAAAAATATAACAGATCCTGCTAAAAGCCCAACTCCATAGCCTTAACCGATACGTCTGAGGACATCATCTCTATATCTCTCAAATGAGTATGAATAAATATAACCCATTAATTGTTCTTTAGTTTATAATTATTTATAATAAATTTAAAGCCAACCAATTAATAATAATCATAATTTTTAGTATTTAATGATAACTTCACGCACTCAACAATTAGTTTAGAGAATATTTGCTTTCTAAACTAGTTCATTACTTACAAAATTTAATGCCGGAAAGCTAATCTAGAACTAAAGAATAAAAAATCTTAATTTCAATTCATTACTATAAGTTCACAGAATTTAGGCATTTTCAGCCATTATTATTGATAAAAATTTGAGAAAGTTATATTCTTAAGAAATGGATGATGATGTAGCTTATTCTTCTGACCCAGAAGCTATAGACTTCAATGAAGATATATTATTAGATCTTGAAAAAACTGAATTGGATTTGGAATTGGATGAAATTGATAAAAATGTAGAGAGCTATTATAAAGTGTTTGACACTAATTTAATTGAATAAGCAAAGTTGAGCAATGAAAAATTTATTAAAGAGATGAAGAAATACGATATGAAACCAGTGGAGGAGTATCAGTCATTTTTCAATAATTACTTAATTTCTGATCAATATCTCACTCCGTAAAGAGCCTTATAATTAGTGGATATGCATGAAAACTTGTATTTTAAGTGTATGATGATATAAGAGTTAAATGGTAATGACTAATTTTCATAAGAATACGTTGAAACATTTATTAACTTATCTAAGTAAGCAGCAGATTCAATCAAATTAAACGTTTAAAAAATGCCTCCAAAATTTAGAGACGAACTCATTATTTTTGCTATTAGGTTCTAAAAGTACGATGCAGTTTCAGCTGAATTATTTCTAACCTATACATTAAGAAAAGAAAACTAGGATTTGCTGCTTTCTGCTCCAGGAACCGTAGCTCTTATTTTATTCATGGCTCTCTAACCTCATAAAATGCACTATAAAATGCTTAAAATAATTCATCAAGACCCAGTAGGATTGATAGAAATACCACTTATATTTGAGTTTTTAGTCAAAAATATTAAAAAATCTCCATTTGATATGATCAATAATAAGGAAAGGATGGAGAATGAGGAAATAATCGATAATTTTATTTCAAAATTAATTAACAAGCATTATGACGATGATGACAGCTTCAAATAAATGTACACAAATTACCTAAAATGTTATCTAAAGTATTATCAATATTAACCCAAAGAAGAAGTCGCTATTTTCTTAGTATAAAATTGGTCAAGCTACATCAAGAGCAATCCTGATCCTCAATATACAGTTAACTATTTACTATAATATATTTTCTCTCGATAGAATGATCAATTAAGTAGCTAAATAAAAGCACTATTGCCCAAAATCTTAGATGATCTTCTAGAAATCCAGTAGAAAAATGAGCCAGGTATGCTAGTAAGATGCATAATTACATATTAATTGATGATTTTCCTTAGGATGCACAAATAAAAGCCAGAATTGTTATAGAAAACATTTGGTAAGTTCAGTCATTTTTAATGATTTTATAGATAAAATGAAAATTCTAGTTTAAAAAGGATTAGAAACTACAGATATAGAAAAATTTTGCTCTCTTCTTTAGCTTCTACTTGCATCCAAGATTTAGAATAATGAAATTTGTGAAATAGCCATCAAGAACTATTTAAAGAATAAAAACAAAATGGAGATCACATTAGGTTCAATTAACAAAATCCACAAATATTTTTATGCTCATTCTGATATATATGAGACTAGGGAAATTTTAAAAGATCTAGAAATGCAATTCAATTAAAATCTGAGTTCTATGGAGCCTGCTAAAATTAAAACTTACTTAAACGTTATCTTAGGCTGCGCAACAGTCTTCACCAGATATCAAAGCAAATTATTCAATCCTATAATAGATGAATCAATAAGGTCTAATCATGTAGAGCTTACTAACAAGTGGAGTAAGTAAAAGCCATAAAAATAACTTTATCATTTTCTTAAATGAATGCCTGTTACTAATTTAAATTTAGGTGTTGAAGATGCAGTTTGGGTAACAAAGAAGCTTGTTTCTATTGGTATAACGAAATCACTTCATATCCTTGATGATTACATTTACGACAAAATAAGCACTAACTACATACAGTATTAAGAGAAACCAGATATTATCCATGAGTATATCAAGACTATCTACAGCAGAAAGAAAATTGAGAAGTCAAGCGCTAAAAAGTTCCTATTGCTAATCAATTAATTTATTGAGGTCATCAATATTGATCCAATTATCTAGGATGATGTCAGAAAGGCTGTTGGAAAAATTGAGGATAGTCTCACTAGTAGCTGGACAGAGGAAAGAAAGCTTTTGAAAAAAATTATTGATAATAACAACGAATTTTTCAACTAGCCATAATTATAGATGCAAGCGAAATTAGAAGAAGATGAAATGTAGGATAAAATTATAAGGGACTTGCTGAAATGAAGGCAATTAATTAGAAATAATGATCATTATTTAGAGGATAAAAAAACCAATTCGATATTTCTTATTTATTGATTTCTGCTAAAATTTAATTTAATTTATGGATCATGGGGTTTTGGGGTTTTGGGG